ATATAGTTATTGTGTTACACCCCGTCTAGGGTAAAGGCACAACATGAAAGAGTATGAGGACACAGAAGAGTTTTGAAAAATGAATGAACAGTATTTTTATTGAGAACAATGATTTTACAGTACAAGTGAGGGAATTGTAGCTTTAGGAGCCGACAAGGCCAAAATAATAAACAGAAAACAACAAATTTTTATCCCTCTAAATTCCCTAGTTCACAAAAGAAAATAAAAGAAAATACTTCCCTAACTCCCTATCCAAAAACCATCAATAAAAAGGTTCCAACAGAAATTGCATCGGTCTCCCTACCTCCCCAGAGTATTATATACAATTATTTACAGTGCATAGCAAAGTCCAAACGGGCAATCCAGAATCCAGGTCAAAGAACAGGTGGTAGTCAGTAATACGAATGAGTGGCTAAGCAAAGTAACGAACCACAATCAGTCTCTCACAAACTAACACTCAATTAAACACACAAAGATACTCTCAGTCTTACTAACACGGAATGTAACTAACTAGCAGCATCAACAAGGCAGAGCAAACACGGCAAGTAAGCACAAGGCTGAAGCAGGAAGTGATGACGGAGTCTCTTATAGGCAGCTAGGAGTCAGCTGCTCAGGCAGTGCGTGGCACCAATTAGACTGCAGGAACCAATTGGACTTCCTCCTGGACAGAAGACAAACATTTCCCAAAACAAAAGAAAACACAGAAATAGAACAAAAGGGACGTAACAATTGTAAGCCAGATATGTTGGCTTTGTTCTACAATAAATAAACAATCACAAAATTAATACTGAAGTAAATACAATCAATAATTGAGGCACAAGATCATAGCAGAGTGAGAGAATGATGGTTTGATGTGAAATAAGCACCAGTCTCAAATACCCAGAAGAGCGTGATGACCCTGCAAACATGTCCCTGCGGGGCCCATGCTGGCTGTTTGCGGGCACAGTGGGCTAGGGCCAGCCCACACCAAACCTAAACAGTGCAGGCTTGCCCAGGTGAAGCCCACAGCTTTGGGCTCACCGCAGGCTCTCTGAGCAGGCCACACTAGCGGACTGTCCACATTAATCCTATGATGGCCCAGTGTGGGCCAGCCCGTTTGGGCCCAGAGCAACTTTTGTATCCTTTGAGCCCATGTAGTTTTGTGTAAACAGCCCTGTAAGGCAACTAGGAGAATACAAACAACATTGACTGGCCATTCTTTAGCCACTCAATTGAACTGGAATGGCTCAACCAAAAGAGACCTTTTCAGAATCTATTGTTTCATATAGGCCAGGGATCCTCAAATCTGGCTCACGAGATCCACTTTCCTGCAGTTTAGTTCTAACCTTAATCAAGCACACCTGAGCATGTCTTCAGGATCATTAGAAAATTACAGGTGGGTGAGTTTGATCAAAGTTTACATTTACATTTAGTCATTTAGCAGACGCTTTTATCCAAAGCGACTTACAAATGAGGACAATGGAAGCAATCAAAATCAACAAAAGAACAATGATACGCAAGTGCTATAACAAGTCTCAGTTAGCTTAACGCAGTACATGTAGCAAGGTTTTTCTTTTACATTATATAATAAATAAAAAGAAAACAGATAGAAAAGAAAAAGAATAGAGCAAGCTAATGTTAGAGGCTAGTGTAGGCAAACATTAATGCCTTGAATTTTATGTGAGCAGCTATTGGTAGCCAGTGC